CCTTCTTAAAGAAGTTCCACCTTCCGGTAGATTTCCTTTTGTTGTCTTAGCATCTTGTGGAACCTACTCGCTGACAGCTATTCTAGACCGACCGTCGTCAAGACGTATCCCCTTCTAAATTTTGGATTTTGGGGTAAAAAGTAGTGCCTTCAACACCTCTGTCAAAGGCGAGGAACCGAACGCTGAGCTCCCACTCTCACCTACGGACAACAGTATACTTCAAGTATCTAGTCTTATTAATAGCGCACTTGATGCCTTCTTTGCGACTTACTTTTCCTTCATATAACTTTTGTTGATTTTATTCACTGTGTTGATCGCTTCGTGTTAAAAGCAATAGGGTTTGAAAGAGCGAGCTGATATTTAAACAAATTTCAAGTGCGCTTTTCTTCATTCTTCACGATTTTTCACAATGTCTGAATTTCAGCCATCAGCAGACGTTAAGACAGCAAATGAAATAGGCGCTGTAAGTTAATTACCGATTGATTCATATCATTAGATTCATACGACATGAATCCCACTCACATGCATACACCCTCCCACCCACACACGCACACAGACACACACCAGCACGCACACAAGCACACGCACACACGCTTGCACGCGTACGAAGATCTAAAACCGCACACAGAGGTGCAGACATATGTACACATACATATACACACAGACATGCATACACACACACAGACGCACACATACTTCTATACTTCTATCTCCACACATACATTTAGATGTGCAAAAATACTTTCTTGATACTTGAATGGCCCGTCCTCACTAGTTGTGCGAACCCCAGCAAGCATAATCACCATTTTTCGAAGATTTGCCGGTTAAGCCATTGGGGTTTTCTGGAATCCCGAAGAGAACTGGCCAAAGTCTGCCCCGGGTCGTCACCACGACAGGCAGTCGCAACTCATGTGGATCATGGGAAGATTTACCACCATGCGACTTTGATACCAAGGCGGTGGTGGATCCTGGTATTGGTTTAGTCGTAGCTAGGTTTCCTGATGAAAACACCGGACTCCTTCTCAGCTTGGGAGACCCTGGCAAGGGATGAATCCCCCGATGTACATCGCAGTCCGACACTCAGAAACACTTCCCAGCCACGATGTGGCGGTAAATCGCTGAGAGGTATGCAAATATATATATATATATATATAAAAGCATTCGTAGCTTATTTTCTTTCTTCTACTACTTTATTTTACTAGAGACTCATTGGGGGTATCTAGTGAGTAAAGCAAATTTATATCGCCAATCCTGCCGATTCTATTGCGTAGGCGTTCTGATGATTTAAGAGACAATACTTCTCTTCAACGGCTTTTGAGAAGGACTCCGACTATCGGTCCGGCATTCCTCTATCTCTGACAATGACATCCATCGGGACTAGTCACTAAGGGGTCCTACGCACACTCGTCTCAAAAACACATCTCTGCGGTCTTCTTGATTTTCGACATCTTCGCGTAGATGGCTGCTCTTCGATTGTTTCGTACGATGTGGCTCCTTCGGACTTCTTCTCTCTTTTATTATACTGGATAATTTGTGCAGCTAATCCTTTCCAGTGCCATTCGATAAATTTGTGATTGTGAGGTTTTCCATCTACCCAACTTTCATTTATTTGGTTGTGTGAACTTATCGTTTTCGAGTTAAGATCTACATAATTTTGGTGGACTGAATTTCTTCTGATTCTCCAGTGATGTCGCAACTACTGACGTTTAATTTTGTCTATTAAAACACAAAACACAAAAAAACACAGTTAGTATGATCAAATAAATTCTAACTGATTTAGTATTATTTCTTATTAAATGGGACGGATAGCATAGTGGTATTGATGTCGGTCATCACGAGAATGGTGTTAGTTCGATTCCGCTCCAGGCCAACCAAGCCTCATCCTTCCAGCGTCGGAAAATTGGTACCGAAGATGTCCAGGAAAAGTCACTTTCTGCAATCCAATTAGGAACGCTCCAGTCCAGCTATCTCAGGACTCCAGGGAGAATTGCTCGACCACCATTTCATGACATTCGAGATAAACCCTCAAGCAGAAACCGAAGCCACACGTAAAAACGTGGAAGACCTTAGTGGACTGTAGATGCGAGGAAACGAATTGGATGTGATAAGTGCTGGGATCCGCACACGAGACGTGAAGACGGATCAAACAAAATAGGACATGATAAGAAGATATTTCCTATTGCTATGTATTGTTATTCGTTGTCCTCCATTCTAGACAAAATTGCTTCCATATTTTCCTCTTAATACTTGTTCCCGAATGCTTTCAAGAGAACATTTCTCAGAATCTCCCTATCCTTTATCATCTTCTTTCTCGCTTTGCTCAGTAGAATGGGAAAAGAATGTTTGAATTTGTTCCTTCAAGATCGAATTACCGAAGCAATCACCTACATCACCTGTAGTTGTCCCGTTGATTGTCGAGTGACTAGAGCTGGTGCCGGTAATTCTTCCACTTTTTCCGTCGGGTGCAACAGTAGTCCAGTGGGTTCTGCTCGCTCTAATGACTCGTCGAGCATCATATCTTCTTTCTACGTTTTTCGTTAAGAACTATGAACAACGGGTCGCTGGTATTCCTGCAGTACGTTTGACATTCCGAGGAATCCAGTCACTAACGGCTCTTGTCCATCAGTTGTCATTCATACGCATTACCTGTCCGGCTCTCTTTATCTTCGACAGTTTGGCGTCCAGAACGGCATCTTTGATTTTTGATCGTTGACGCAGATCGGAGCTTCGGATCCCATCTCTTACTTGTGTGCAACGGGATACTTCTAGCATCGTCCTTCCGACTGTGCGTTCGATAACGCTGAGTGACCTTTCACCCTGCTTACGCAGCGGCCAGGTTTCTGACGCATACGTTAGGGCAGGAAGAATCGTTGAGTCGAACAGTGGTCACGGAGTCGGGTGTTCTTTGTTCTCTTCACTACATCATCGATGCTCTTAAAAGCTCCCCATGTTGCTCGTTTCCTTCTGCTCAGCTCTGGAGCTAGGTCCTTCATCACATTGATTTCCCGACGTAAATAGATATAACTGGAGCATTCGGAGACATTCATTCCATTGAGCGTGAATGGGGCATGCGAAACCAATCCGTTCTTCATGAACATCGTTTTTTCGAGATTTAGCAGAAGAGCAATCTTACCACAGACTTTATCAAAGTCGTCAAGCATACGTTCCGCTTGGCTAGTGTCTGGTGTTATAATAACGATGTCATCAGCAAAGCGAAGATGGTGTAACTACCGACCATCGATTTTCACTCCCATATTATCCCATTCCAATGTTCGCATGAATGTTTTCTGGAGGGTGGCGGTAAATAATTTTGGCGAGATGGTGTCCCCGTGTCCAACTCCTCTTTGGACATTAATGATAATATTGTCGTAGAATGGTAGTATCTTGTTTGTGGGATTTTTGTACAGCTCACGAAGAATTTTTATTTGCTGAGTAGGTATTCCTTGACTATCGAGGGGCTCCATGACTGCTTCTATCTCAATTGAGTCGAAGGCCTTCTGTAAATCGATGAAAGTGAGACAGAGCGGTCTTTTGTACTCTCGCGATGCTTCAATGAGCCGTGTTACCGTGTGGATGTGGTGGATCGTACTAAATCTTTTTCGAAACCCTGCTTGCTCACATGGCTGTTCTTCGTCTAGTGTTCTATCAATTCTGTTTAGGATCACTCGAGTGAAAAGTTTGTAGACAACAGACAGTAACCAGATTGGGCGATGGTTGCCGATATCGTGTAGGTCACCCTTCTTCAACAATAACACGGTCTTGCTGGTCTTCCACTGAGTCGGGACTTTGCATTCAGATAGGTAAGGTGTGAAAAGCTGAACCAGTGTGTTTACGAGGACTGGCGGAAGGTTCTTCAGGTGTTCTGGTCTTATCCTGTCCACACTTGGTGCTGTTCGATTTTTCACCGACGAAATGGCATGTCGGATTTCGGATGGGAGAACCCATGATAACACATAACCATTCCCTTTTATTTCATATGACGGAAGGTGGACGCGGCTATCGATGAGATACAAGTAGTATTCGTGAATGATTTTCTCCATTGCCTTTTTGGAAGCTGTAACTGTTCCGTCTTGGCATCGAACATCTTCTTTCTCGTAATTTTCGTAATTTCTCGTAATCGTAATAATCATCTTGCTCGTGTAATTGGCGATGCTTCGGTAGGCTTTGCGAATGCTTTTCCCAGCCTCTTCAGCTTCGACCATTACTGCTGCTCTTCTCACTTTAAAATCTTCTTTTATCGCCTGTCTGCATTGTTATGCAAGTTCGGACGTTAGTTCGCGGTTGCCTGCAGCTCGAGCGATTCCACGCTGGCGTATCAGCTCGAGTGTTTCTGGAGACAAATCTCTTGGCGACTTTCGAACTCTCAGCTTTCATAGCGTTAACGTGAAGATGTTGAATGAGCCGCTCGTATTCTTCGTCGAGGTTATCGAAAACGACATCTTCCCAACAGCCGACTAATGAATTTAATAAGTCCCAGTTTGCGGTGGTTCTGGGACTTCGGTTAGACTTGCACGAAGGAGGCGATGGTCTGATCCCGTGTAGAATTTCGGGACAACAGCGACATCGGTTAGGCAAATCCTTCTATTCATTATGATGTGGTCTATTTCGTTATGGTACTCTCCATTGGGAGACTCCCACGTCCAGCGTTGAGGGGTGGGGCTTCTAGAATTGCGAGTTACCATGGATTGTTTTGGTCGCCATGATAAACTCAGACGGCCATTCACCCTGTTCGTTCCAATCTAATCCGTGGGTCTCAATATAACGTTCATCATACCTTCTTGGTCCCATTTTGGCATTGAAATCTCCAATGATTACCTTGAAGAATGCATGGTCTTCTCTGTAGAACTTCTCCAAGTCCACATAGAAAGCTTCCACTTCTTCTTCGTCATAGTTTAATGTCGGCAAGTAAACGGCCAAAATTGTCCGAGCCGGTATTGTTTCACATCTTTTTAATCGTTAACGTCCGATTCGGTTTGTAAGCTGTTCGAATGAATACATGTTCATGGACAAACTCGTGTTGATGAGAACGCCGACGCCGCCGACTCCTGTACTATCGCATGTTCGAAGAACAGTTCCTCTCTGGTGTCATAGACGGCGTTGAAAGGCTGGCCTCTTCTCGTCTCGACCAGGCCGATGACGTCGTACTTTATCCTTTTTGCTTGCATGAGCATGTCTATCGAGGACTCGGATGCGAGTGTATGTGCCTTGTAGGTACAGATCGTCACCATAATTCTTTGTAATCCAGGTAGCTTCCATCGGCCCTGAGATTTCAGCAGACTCTTCGTACTCGTCCTACTGAACGCTGTCGAATTGGGTGCTCTTTCGTGGTTAGGGGAATGAGGCCGGTTTTTTTTTGACTGTGTTTAGCACTTTTGACACCCACGTATAGCTTACTAGGCTCTGATTGTGGGGCTGGGTGTACTCACGGGTAGCTTGCCAGGCTCTCCTTAAGTGGACATGGAGCTTATTTGTTGGAGGCGACTCCTAACCGCCTCCCATACACTTCCTAGTCACTTGACTGGAGGCTTTTCGCCGAATTAACTCGTAGAATACAATCCGCATAATCAAAAACGCATCCACGCACGCATGTATGAATACGCTAACAGATACATGAAGTATGTGCCAAATCAGCGCAGCAGAAACAGGGAGTCCATCTCTTGGGTCCACCTGCGTCTCAGGGAAGCAAAAGTCGCTTTTGGTCCACGATTAACCGCCTATCCGCCAACTGGGGACGTCCGATACCGAAGCATTATGTCGAGTTGTTAACATGTGTAGCGTTTGGGTATTATTATTCTTTTTAAATTTCGCTCCAACCTTCACATTCCGGCTTTGGAAAATCAGCAGATAGTATATAGATGCAACAATACAATTGTATACGCCGCCACAACAATGAAGTAAGATAGGGGAAGGACCCATACACAACTTATATTGCAGTCAGTGTAAGAAATGCGCAATGAAGTACAAGAATCGATTGTAGAAGTTCAAAACTGATTTGTCTTTCAGTCAAATAAAGTCAGCAAGACATCAGGAAGCATTGTGTTATTCTTTTTATCATTATGTATTCTTTCTTGATAAGCTTGCACGAGGTTGATAAATATATTTATTTTCGGCTAACGTTTCGATGTCTTCGTCTTCCTCAGAGCCGGTGATCCGAGTCGATGGTCCATGTTTGTTGTTCGCTTCGACGTTGCGTCTTCGCCTTCGTGTCGAGCCAGATCATCCTCAGTGAGCCATCTTCTCGAATCAGAGAAGAATCTTCTCGAATGAGAGGATCTGGCTCGACACGAAGGCGAAGACGCAACGTCGAAGCGAACAACAAGCACGGACCATCGACTCGGATCACCGGCTCTGAGGTAGGCGAAGACGTCGAAACGTTAGCCGAAAATAAATATATTTATCAACCTCGTGCAAGTTTATCAAGAAAGAATACATATTGATTAGTCACACCGAGGTTTAGGGAAGGTCGGTTTCGAAACCTTTTTATCATCGCTAGGAAAGATCTTTCAAAATAAGGTCGTATTAACGCTAAATCATGGCGAGACTCATGGTTTTTTTTACGAGTAAAAATAGACAATTTTCAAAGTTTACTGGCTGGCGATACAAAATTCACTTTCATTCTAATCATATTTACAAATAATCTAGGACAAAAGCTGGAAGTCGTAAAATACGATGGTCTATAATTTCAGACTAAAACTGTTTCTAAAGAAGACACACAGAGTGTGGACACAAAAGGTGGGCGGTTGTGGTTTATGATCATCTTCTTGTTAATTTTTCTAGTTTCTTATCTCAAAATTTACATTCCTGGAGTGAACGCTTTCTTGTTAAAAGCAATTTCCATAGTTGTTAATATGTCCAACCAGTTTAATTTGAACTTTATAGATGCAATAGCACTAATATTAAACGTATAGTAATTATTAGAGCTCTCAGATACTTGTGTGGCGCAGTAGTCGGAGACATTCTGCAACACACAAGTGGAATCGATCTCCGCGCCCATGGCCCACCAAGCCTTCCATTCCTTCGGGGTCAGCAAATTGGTACCAGGCCTGTACGAAAGGATAGTAGCACTAGATCGTTATATGGGTAGCCCACGGCGAGTCATTGTAAAGGCCAGATATTCATTCAACCGCTTCCAAACGATGCTTAATGAAGTCGAATACATGGCGCATCGCTCAGGGATTGATCAAAGCCGAGAGCTTTATCCTTTATCCTTCCTCAGGTACTCTCCAGTAACCACACCGTTATACGATGAAAACGTTGTTGTACTGTAGTCGAGAGGGTTAGCGTTTCGAGCACCTTATTTAGAAATTCGTTCTTTATGTTAATCCTGCCCAAGACGTCTAAAGCAAAGTTCTCCGAACTTCCTCTGCAATGCACATGGTTTTTAGCTCGATCTCATGCTCCAGGTAAACCGCGCTACCTTGTCTCTCATAGCTGACAAATTGGTACCATACCTGTTAAAGGGAATGAAAACGCTGGCTTAAAAGATCAATAAGTTATTTTATATGCATACAGTTACCTCAGCAATAGAACGAATTTAGTACACTGCATGAGAGATTCCTTAGGAGCTTGTCATCTGCGAGAGCTATGCACTTCTATCGTTTTGTTCTAATGCGGAAGAAAGGCCACGCACAGTATAAGGCTATCTACTAGAGCTATTTGTTACTGAAACGTTGCGTGATAGCGCCATGTTTATTGGAGTTCTATGTGGTGTTGAGTTTCGTATCGTTCTAGTTCCTGATAGCAAAAAGCGCGATAAAAAAAAGAAAACGGCACGAAAAGTGAAATCAAAGAAGAATAAAGGTATGCAAGTGTATGACATTTGACTATTTTCATTCATCGCCGATAATATTATACACTGACCATTTGTGACCTACTGAATTACAGTCAGATCAAAGAAGAAAATCAAGAAAAAGAAGACGGAATGAGGCTGATTTTTTGAACACTTAACCGACTCGTATATATTTATTTCGTGCCCAATGAAGGTTTTATTCGTTGTTGTTCTTGTCACATATGTAACACTACAGAACGTAAGAAGCGCGGTGGTTGGAGATGACGTGCAATAATGAATATATGGTCGCTGGTTCAATCTCACAAGTGCCTAACCAAGCGCTCTATTCCCGCGAGAAGATTTATAGCAGGCTTATCTGAGAATGGCTCCCTTCATGGAGAAAGACTACTGTCCAAAGTAGAGCTCAATGGTCTTCCGAAATTATCGCAGGTTTTCAGGAAGTGTCAATTCGTCCAACCTTCAACGATATCGAATGAGATCAAAAGTCCTTAGTCCATACACCAAATCGGAAAAAGTTCGTGAATCTGATAGTTAGAAAACAGCGAGTCGAATAGAAGCTGCTTAATATGTAAAGTAGGTGGAATAAAAAATAAAATTATAACACTGCTTCCTCAGTGATTATTACACGTAGACCGTCTGATTGTTCAGTCATTCTTTTCGTTGTCGAGCAGTCATCATCCGTGGAACTGCTGTGATTTCTATGCAGCTTCAGTTGCTGCCTGAAGGTTTTGTCTTCATCAGAAGTATTTCTGAATGTTCCTCAAGTGTGACTTCTTCGAATGCAGAATAGTACTACCGAACCGTTCGCAGGTTTTCACCATCGAGAGTGACCCACAAGTCGCGGTGAACTCCAAGGATACTTTGGCAGGCAAGACGAAGGAGACGGATGGTGTGGTGGTGAAGTGCGCTGCTCCCCGGTAAGGACAACAGTGCGTGTTCGTTTCCCACTGCATACACCTGTGGTCCGGAGTTTTGCAAATATCTCAGCATTTCATTCGAGCTATATTTCACAACATACCCTGCCATTAAAAAGAAAAAGGCAGTAAATAAAAGGGTTAAGATTGCAAGGATACTTGTTGACTGGTAATTAGTGTTCTGTGGAGACGGCACTGATTTTGATGACAGAGCTTATTCCTGCGATTAATAATAAGCCGGCCGTTCGAGGTTCAGTTCGAATTCACTTCATTTTTCTTTTTATTCGCAGATATTTCATAGTTTTCATGTCATTGGTCTTGTCTTTCATCCAACAACTTCATTACTCATAAAATCAATAGGGGACATGAGAAACTTCTACGAACCGCAGTAGTTCGTTTTGCCTTTGAGTTAACTCTATATTGATCATGATTTTTGGGTAGTTGGATAGTGGGAGGGGATGGCCGTGTTCATCAGTAGTACGGGACCACACTCATTTGTGTCTTTCTAGCTCGATTTTCATCAGCGGTCATTCCGCTTAACAAATGGTCAACTCTGCGACGCACATTTGACTTTTGCATGAGTTACGATGGTCTTTACCGAAGGAAAGCTGTTAAAAGTCTCAGAACGTCATTTTTCATTGCATTCTTGACCATGGGCATTCAAATCAACATGGACTTTTGTGCACCTGTTCTGGTACGATCATAATTTATGTCTCCTTTCTTGACGAATGCAGAAGCGCTAAAGCTAAAAATCAGCGTTATATTTGAATCTACGTTTGGATGAACTTCCGGATAAACATTTGAAACTTCTTAGCAGTTAGAGTGACCCTGTTTCGTTGTGCATTATGTTTCAACAGTCAGAAACACTTCCCAGCTATCATGGTATTGTAGAACCGCAATCATTTTTTAATTCCCACATATTCCAATAGAATTCGAAAACGTGATAAGAAGTGCGCAGATTGAACACTTTCTACTATAACAGGGATATGAGGCATGAGCAAAACTTGGAGCCTCAGGGGTGGAGGTGGCTTTGAATCCATGATTACCTTTCCTGAGAGTTCATACGCTACCCACCACACCAACAAAGGCCCTTTCTTCACCTTTAACCTAGTCATTTTTTACCCTAACGGTGATAACACCAATCACCTGTCAACTGTAATGATCTGGGGAGCCCAAATAGGCATTGAACCTTGTTAAGCCGAAGCGGCAGTAGAGATCATCATCCCTCAACTTTTATTTACTGGCCATTCCCTTACACTTTTAACATTATACGGACATCTATTTTTCTAACAATAAAAAATGTGTTTAAAAAACCTATTCTAAAGCATTTTAAAACCTATAAATGCTATCTACATCACTAATCCGTCTTTACGTTTTCACTGATTTCACTAAACATGCATAACGTTGGAACATTCGTTTTTGTCCGTGAATTGTTTAGAAGTCGTAAGTATTTGCTACGAGTGACGAAAGGACGTCGACGACGATGATCGTTGGAAGAGTTCGAGCAGAAAAAAGAATAACATATTGTCGGCGTGATGAACAATGATGAGCGTAAAGAAGTTTTTTATGGATCGGCGACGTTTAACCTCATCTGCACAGTACGATCGACAAACAGACGACCATCTCGTATCGACACCAACGCATCACCAGACACCGGAAAATCGATTCATCTCACTTTATACAAGAAAAGAAAACTCATTAAACTAAGTTTATTTCGTATATAATGTTGAGATATTTGCAAAACTCCGGACCCATATCAGCAATCACCCGTCAACGGGATTGATCTAGGGAGCCCAAATCGGCATTGAACCCAGTTAAGCTGAGGCTTAGTTATAATCAAGATCTGATCTGATAATCTGATGGCGAAAGATCGATAGAACTAGTTGAGAGACAGGCAAAGCGAAGGACCCGGATGGTGTAGCGGTGCAGTGCGCTACTCCCCGGTAAGTACAACAGCGCGTGTTCGTTTCCCACTGCATACACCTGCGGTCCGGTGTTTTGCAAATATCTCAGCATTGTATACGAGTTATATTTCGCAACATACCCTGCCATTAAAAAGAAAAAGGCAGTAAATAAAAGAGTTATATTTCATAAAAATGCAAGATCGATCAATTTGGTTATTCCTGCCTATTATATTGCATATTATTGAAATATTGTGGGCAGAAAAAGAAGACCCATCAAAAAAATGCTTGCTCCCATATCTTGATGGTGGGAAGCGCGTAAGCACAATTGTTAGGGTTGCTCTGTAATACACACGTGGTCTTTGGCTCGATTCTCGCCCTCCATCAGTACAGATTTGGTAAGCTGCTAACAAACTAGCCTGGAAGGTTAAGAAATTTTAAAAGAGAAATATACATTCAATCACCACAACGAATGGAGTTGAATCCATTGAGCATCCCAATGCGGATGTTGAGAGATGAGCGCCTTATCCCTTTTATTGTGTCTATCTCAGTGAATTTCAATAGCTGAGAGGAGTTCCGGCGAACTGTGAAGCTACTAGTTACTGTTATGATATGTCTTGGATACCGTTCATAAATTTATGATCTGATGCTTACTCGTCCAGGAGATAGCTTCCTAGTTGGCAAGCTAGCCTTTTTTCTGGCCGATATCGTCAAGTTTTGATTCGGCTTGAATTGTCGATTTGGAGACTTCTGAAAGAGTTGATCAGTGAGTATTGACGTTTGCCATAAAACAGAAAACAAATGACGTCACTCGAAGGTACACATCCAAAAAAGCTTTTCATGCACTCAATCCGCCGTCTTTTATCGTTGTCATAAACCACTCTATTCGAGTGGCGCCACATTCTACTCTACTCAGTTCCATGCAACTACGAAAGCTAATATTCACGAGTGAACGGCTGTGGAAATCACTGCGGCTCTGATGAGTACTAGGGTACCAAAACCTCAGCCGACGAAAGTTTTACATCGACTTTGTGCTAGCCTATCAATGAAAGAATAGATATTGATTAGTCACGCCGAAGTTAAAGGAAAGCGGTTTTTCAGATATACTCCACCAATGCTTTTGTTTGTTGTCGTTGACTAGAAACATTCAAATACTTTGGTGTCATAATGTTCATATTCAACCATTTCTTCAAAAAAAAGTGGCAAAGGTAGCGAAGTGCTTAATCAAAACACTTTCTCGGTTGCTTTTTTCCTTCTGAAAAAATCGAAGAAAAGGTGAACTTTGTCCCATCAGCACACCTGTGTTTTAACTGTGGAGTTCCTGTTGGCATTCATATGATCCAAATAGTCGTTCTTCTCGTCCTCCTGTTTGGCCACCTAGACGTTATCAGTATAATAGCGATATTGATCCTGCATTTCGTTATTTACGGACGAACTCTCCGCATATTAATCACTGCCAATAAAGAACATTAAGCTCCAACCTCACACCAACAAAAATGTGGTATGCGCCAGGTTAGAGATCTTTTTGATTCAAAATTTGTGAGGCTTTCTATTAGTGATAACGGTGGAGCATTTATAGTTATTTCTATTCACTTGGATGTTAGAATAACAGAGGAGCATCTCAAAGATGTTTCCTTCTACCGAGCATCCTCTCAAAAGGAATACAGAAATTAATACCGAAAGTTAAATATGGAGTGGGTCAATACGGCAAAGGCCGCGGGTTTAGAGCCTTCAATTATTTCTCGGCTTAAGAACGAGCATCCAATATGTCCTCTCTTATACTTGCTTATTAAGAAACATAAGCTTATTTCAACTGATGATATTACGTCCATGGACCTATCATCAATTGCATACGGATAGAAGAGAGTGGTTCCTAAACCTTATCCTGACCCAGTTGCTGAAGCTCATTCCAAGCAATGCCCAACACCAAAATATTTCTAGGCCACCTAAGCTGCGGGTAACTGAACGGCACACATGTAATGGAGTCATTCGATGTTACTTCACTTTATACCAACGTGTCGAATGACTCCGCAGTGCAAGCCATTCTCGAACTGCTCGTTGAGCATGGAAAAGATAAAAACGTAAGGCTTCTCGATTGTGTAAACTAAGTAAGATCCCTTTTAAACTACTCTTCATACCAAATGAAGTATGTTGCGCCATTAAGAGATGCTTTAAAAAAGTGGTCTAGAAAAATATGTGGCGATTATTAACCTCCGACCCAGTACCCTACGCCGTCAGTTAATTCGCATTCGCCTTCATGTTTGTTTGTGCAGTTCAGAAAACCGTATGATCTGTCCTAACGGGAGAGACGGGGATGGCATGAGTTCAGGTACAATATACTTGATCTCGTGTAGGGCATGCGGTGAAGAGTATATTGGAGAAACGGGTAGACCGCCTTATGTCCGCACAAGAGAACACCTAGATCGGAGAGCCAAAATTCGTCAAAGCACTCTTTTAGGCACTCATAGAGCACGAAAGCATAATGGCAATAATTTTGAAGTGACTGTGCGGATCCTAGCGCAGGAATCAAAAACATCAACGTGCAAAACTCTTGAGGCGTTTTGGATAAATTTCAAAAATCCAAAGATGAACCGGAAAGACGAATGCTTCACTATCACACGCGACCTGGCGCCTTATTTTAAAATGATTGTTTGACGTCGATGTCTCACTTGCCGTCCCCACGTGAACAACAAGCAGGAATCCCCAGTCATAGCAGAAAGGTGAGTAGCCTTTTTGATTTATATGGCGTTTATCAAAAGTTTGCTTCGGCTTTTTTCCACAAAATAATTACAGTATTCTCGCATTAAATGCGTTCAGGCTCTGAAGAAGGCGAAACAGTCGAAACGTCGGCCATAGGCTATATTACCCTTTCCGTGGTCTAACGCGTTCACCATCACACCTTGCTGGTTCTTCGTTTCGCCTTTCTCTCAGCTATTTCTGTCTCTCGTAAATAATAAGTTAAAATTGTGATTACAACTGCAACCTCAGCTTAACTGAGTTCATTGCTGATTTGGGTTTCTCAGATCAATCCCGCTGACAGGGTGAATGCTGATGGCACTGATCGATAGAACTCGCCGAGAGTCAGGGGAAACGAAGGAGCCGCATGGTGTGGTGGTGCACGCGTTACTCTTTGGAAAGGACAATAACGCGTTCGTTCTCCATCGCAGACACCTGCGGCGTGGAGTTTCGCAAATGTCTCAGCATCGCTGAAGTTGTATTTCTTACTCACTTTACCTGTAAATGCCTGAAAACTTAACCTTATTACCTACAGTATAAAGAAAATACAGGAAAACCGAATTAGTGCTCAAAAATGTGCGTGAGCAATATGCAAATCTTGTCATCTATTTATCTGTCTGAGAGTGTCTCACAGTGCTGACGAGGTGATCATCACTATCCCACCTCATCTATGACGTATTCGTCTTCGCCGTAGGCATTCTGCACTTGGCTGATCCGAGCCCGTTCTGTTTTCCGTCTCGCCTCCTCTTCGCGTCTCTTTTCGTATTCTAGACGAGCTCCCTGAAAGTGGAAAACTGTAAAAGGTTAATGGGGCGGACGTATAGCCAACTCGAAGACGATACTGAATCTACTTTGACTGTTTGTTACAGTGCTGTGACTGTCGAACAACGGTCTCTTCTTACACAATCTAGATCCCTTTACACTGTGCAGTTCGATTCTAAACCAGTGTCTCGTGCAATGCTTGATGAACGACGCGTTATCACGAAGAATCGACGAAGATCCACTACTATTTCTTCTTGCAGAAGGTTGGAAAGCACGATTTTTTCATAAGAAGTTTTCTTTCCCTGGTGTCAGAATATCCGTACTAGATGGTTCTTGAACCATCATCGCAGGTAGACTCTGAGTATTTGGGCACCGGAACGAGGTTATCTATATTGCGACTAACACATCCCTTTAATGGAAGTGATTCCAATAGAAATAGTTCGCTTTTGATCAGTGAAAATGTCAATTCGGTTCTTAGTTTTATTGGACGTACTTGACTAACATGGCATGTGCACTCGCAAGTCTACTTGCCCAACTCCATGAGGGAGCAGCACTATCGAATCACAACTATAATAGCAGTATTCGTGAGATTAAGCCCTAACACAGAATACTTGACGGTAAGTTTATTCTCAAGAGAGGTAAGACCAGATAACTCTAGCAACTTTCGATAAGGACAAGTATGCTTCTAAAATGCTTCCATTCTAGTCTTTTCTTAAGTTTGTAGTCTTAGTTAACTCCTCAATTTTTCTTGTTCTAGATAATCCTACTCTTTTTCAAATTGATATCTTTGAATGATCGCATGTGTGTCACCGTTAATTTGAGTTTATACTTACCAAAATCAGCTCTTAATAGGCGAAGTAGCACTTAAACATGACTACTTTCGGATGTGTTCTTTTCATCGGTCGAAAGCTGAGTGCGTATTGTCACCCGATATCCAGCCAGTATAATGTAATTTCGGTTCTCAAAAAGATTCTGATTTTTAAAGAGCTCATCAAAAAATCCATATTAGTAGCGAATATCTAAAAATTTCTTTTAAGGCGATTACTTTGTTCACCGAAAAAAAATCACTTAACATTTAGACTAGTCGACTTCTCCATGTTCATATCACAGCAGCTACTGCCATTCCATCATGACTTCTGCTTACCAATCTATCTTACTCGCAGCGGGTCAATAGATTTTCCTATCGTCGTGGTCATGATTTTTTTACATAACCCGTTATCAAGAGCGCGTGTGGTGTAGTGGTTGAAGGCATCCTGCAACACACACGTGGAATCGATCCCCGTTCCTATGGCCTACCAAGCCTTCTATCCTTTCGAGGTCGCCAAGTTGGTACCGGGCTTGTCTGGGAGGATAGCAACACTGACTCGATACATCGGCAGGCGACCGCGAATCATTGTAAAGGCCAGATATGCATTCAATCACCTCCAACGATACTTAATGAAGTCGAATGCATGGTGCATCCCTCAGGGGTTGATCAACGTTCAAAGCTCTATCCTTCTTTAGAGTGAAAAAATGTAGAATTTCCTAATTAAATGAAGTCTTATGAAAGTATACAGTGAGATGGTACTGTGGGAATACCGCAACGTGTATGTGGTTGTAGTTGTGTAGTTTTAGCCTTTTTATTTAACCCGTCATCACATCTACTGTGAAGGCGATCCCACCACTTCTTGCATTCGATTCGTCTCCCTCGGATTCATCGTCCACAACGGTTTTTGAAAATTTTGCGTGTTGCTTCAGCTGCTGCTTGGGATTTCGTCTTCTTGGAGGTATTTAAGCAACTGATGAGTATTATAGCTAAACAGTACGTTATTCTACCCTTTGGTTCTATTACTAGCTGTTTAAAGAGAACAACGGGTAGAATGAAATGGTTTTTTAACTCTAACAGTTGTCTTTCTGTTAAAGCATATTCCAGCTTACCTTATCAACACGCAGATGTTCCTGGTTAACCTACACAACGCGTGTCCTAAGAACGCGTATATGATGGAGCCCTTCGACATTACCGCCCTTAATAAAAACTTACCGAATGACTCTACTATGCAAGCCTTCGTCGAACCCCTTATACTACACGAAAGCGCAATAAAGATATATGGTTTCACTATTCAGCAGATGATGACCCTCTTAAAGGAATGTCTAAACTGCTCAATCTTCAGATGTTCAGGAAAACACAACGCACAAATGAGAGCGATGGCAATGGGACAGCGACTGGCACCAAGCCTTGCCATCATTTGTGTCTGAGGTGGAAGCACCAGTAACTGATCTTCGGCCACTACTCTACTGTGGTTATATAAAAGTTTGCTTTGTCGTTTGTTCCACACAAGAGGAAATGGACAAATGTTTCTGAGTTATTAAATAAACAATCGGAGTACATAACATTCAGCCGAGAGAGACCGAAAAACAAACTGGCTTCCATTTCTGAATGTCCAAATTAACCTATCCGAAAACGGCTACATTACGAAACAGCAGCGAAAATAAAAAGAGTGTTTGTGAGGAACATGTTTCGAACTCCAACGAGTGTGTGCACAGGAAGAGAGCAAAAGGAGGATTCCCTGAAATTAGTGCAGCAAGTAGTCATTTCCAGTGGCTACGAAGCTGTTACTCCTCGAGATAGGTGTAGGAAAAAACCTAAGCTTTCTAATGATAGTTCTAGCGACAATAGGGTCCTGTTTATCCTGCCTATCATTTGAAACGGAGTAAATGCAGCTATAAAACATGGCTTAAGAAGAGCCGGTCTACAAAAGTCGGTAACCGTAATTGAAAATCCACCAAGCACTCTAAGACACCAGCTAGTTCGCAACCGCTTGTATGACGGTCTACATACAATGCAAAGTTGAATGATATGCTCTAACGGTTGAGACGGTGATTGCATCAGTTCGAGTACAGTTTATCCGACTCCTTGAAAGCGTGCAAAAACGAATATATTATCGGAATGGAAAGACCACTCGACGTCCGTATAAAAGAACACCTTGTCGGTATACTCAAAGTTGAACGAAATACTTCAGTGGATGCGCACAGAAAATGGAAACATAACAGGGAACATTTTGAAGTAGAAGTTACCATCCTCGCACAGGAGTCGAAAACACCAGGGCGCAAAACTCTCATACTGATCCCAAGAATCTGGAAATGAGCTGCAGCGATGAACGCCTAGTAACCACGCTTGATCTTACATGATATTAAAGCTGATATTTTAACATGGAAGAGCACATCACGCTTCCAAGTGAACTCTGCCCGCTTTGTCTCCACGTGACGAACTCAGTGGAAGATTCATAGAGAGCGGTAATTGCTCGAAGAAACTATGTTGTCTTCACTGCGATTGAGATCTTGGTTTAGTACTTTCCCTATTTGGTCATAGAGGTGTTCGGCTGAGTGGATTGCAGTCAATTTGACCCTTACATCCTCTGAAGAAGGCGAAATCAGCCGAAACGTCAGCTTTTCTCCCGATAAGGGATGAAGTAGCATCTGGTATTTGGCCATCAAGAATGACGTTGAATTAACACGGTTGTACTGTTGCTAAGCGAACAAAAAAGACACACACACACAGAAATACAAAAGCATGGAGAATTTATTAGATGCACTAATTAAATGAGAAAAAAGAGTAATAGAAACAAAAAAGGATCAGCCTGTAAACGCAAGACAATCACACTAAGTCATTCGTGAATACCTCGCTTTTTATCATTTCAATCTCTTCGTTTATTTTTCGGCCTTCCTCTTCCATTTTCCGTTTCACCACCTCTTCTTTTTCTCTCCGTTCTTTTTCTTCTTTTTTCCTCAACTCCTTCACTATGTCAGGACACATCTTCTCTTCAATACAAATTTTTTCCGCATCATCATTTTTCAGACGCTGTAAGGCCACCCTGAAAACAGCCAAACATCACCGTTGCCCAATTTACACTTATAGTTTTTCTATTGTTGAAATTCCGACTTATAGCAGAATTGTTTTTCGACTTCTCCCAGTGTACTTTCACCCGGCGTTGGATCACAAATGTTTTATATGGTCATGTATGAGATAAAAAGAAGACAGTTTAGGATTACTTCTTTCCCATAGTAGATTTCTTCATCGTACCGTCCTCTCTGTTAAGAGTTTCTTAGTGTCGAGAAAGTAGGATTCATAGTCCAATATATCTACCGGAACCAAAATGGTCCGATTTTTCGTTCGAAAACTCAGCTAAAAACCTATGACATTGTACAACCTAGTGAGTCGCCCATGATCAGGTTTTCGCTAGAAAAAAATCCAAAATAAGGGATTCATACAAAAGTGTGAGAGTATTCGTGTCTTCCAAACAAACGACAAGGGAGCTTTAACCCCATTTAAGGCAGCTTTAAACACTATGTAGACCAATGAAGACTCTCCAGTTGCTGCTCTGAGATACTCGATGGATAACGGGCTTGTAGGTGTTAAGAGTACTAGGTAAGTTTAAGAATGTAGAAAGATCTTGAATCTAGTGTCGTTTCGGAAAATATCTTACTTATTGATAAGTTCGCAGACGTTGCCATCATCCAGATCTGTTCGATTATATTTCCAACATTCTTCTTGCATGTTCTGAACAATCTCTATATGGCCATTTATACAGATTCAGCAAAAATCCAGCCGTTGTCAGACGTTCCCCTAACCGCTCCAAACGGTATGTTGAAAAGCTCGATCCGGCACCATTTTTCCAGAAAAACCACGGCAATTTAAATCCAGAAACTAACGAACCTTCTCGAAATCTGCTTCTTCTTTTTGCCGTTCTTTCAACTTCACAATAACTGCATTACAAAAATCACATAAATAATCAGTTGGTATCACCTAAAAATTCAAATTCGCTGATAGAATGAACAACAAAACAGTTTGGGATGTTGTGAAATCAAATATTATTTTCTTCCTTAATATAAAATTTTTAGCATTAACAAAAATCACCCCGAGCTGACAAATAGCCCGGCGATTCCATGAGGAAATCCAGCCAAGAGTAAACCAATACCATGGTTCACTATCGCACTCTGATATCGAACTCGTCGCATAGTGTTAAATCTCCCTCTGATACACGAGAGCTGAGATTGCTTATGGTAGTTAAGACCTGGAGCAGACTTTGGCCAGGCTGACCTCGGGACTCTAGAAAACCACACTGGTTAAACCAGAAAACCTCCGAAAAGTGGAGATTATGCTAAGACCCGCACAATCAGTGGGGACGGCCCGTTCCAGTATCAAGTAAGTAAATAATGAAAACTGAGTTACAGATGAACACCACCCATGAAAACATTACAAACAAAACCTCAATTCGACTAGTGTAAAATTCGAATGTACAGATTTGATGCACAAATGTATTCAATGGCCGGCTACTTTATTGATTGACACACATTGGGTAGTGGACCGACGAATGGGCTATTGGGCTTGGTTATTCAACTACGCTCTAAACATCTAACAAATCAAAAAATTTTCTAAAAAAACCTTCTCACTTACTAACTTTCACCTAAAATCTTTTCAAAAAAAATTTTACATAACTCAAAAATCGTTTGTCTGTTGGCGACAATTTCTGAACCGTTATACTTTGTGAAATCGATACGAAAACTCGTCCGCGTCTGCTGAGTCAAATTAGACGTGACGTTCTGGAACGAAATGAAAGAGATCCAAAAAAAAACAAGAAAGAAACCAGAAAATCAGGCTATTACGCAGCAATAACTTTTTTTACTTATACAAATAAGTGCAACGATAGAAATGAAGCTGGTTATAATTTAGTGAAGAAAGTATGTAACTGAAGAATTACCGTAATACCTCATAATTAACGGTCTTGAACCCTTTGGTGAAATTGTTAGATTTTGACTTTCCGTCCGATCCACCAAATAACTCGGACTTTTTGACTGTCAACGATTTTGCATTGATTGTTATAAAAAAGGCAGCAAATAAGAGAAAAATCATGTAATTCCTAAAATAGTAGCTTTAGATACCATAAGAACAAAAAATGGTCGAGATAACTGGTAACAACGTAGTGGAGCTCAACGAAAAGTAGAGCAGAGAAAAATTTAGGAACAGAGAGGAAACTGAAATGAGAGAGATGGCGCTGCAGCGATAAGGGAAATAGGGCGCAGGCAGAAAAAGAAGAAGAAAAGTGGGACTTGGACAAAGAAGGAAGGAAATAGAGGAGGAGTTGGCAACATCTTGTGAACTTGTAAGACAGTAAGATGCTTGGGTGGACATCTTTTACATCTTTTGCTGAATTTCGTATGAAATATGTTCAAAGGATTATTGCCGTTATTGGGAGTCGTTGAAGTCAGTCTGAGCTGAACATATTCTCACCATCGTTCTCGTGCTATTTTCGTATTGAAAGTGTTACAAATCAAGCAGGAAAGTCCTCGAAATTCGAAAAGTAGGTGACAACCTCCATTTACAACAAGGACGAGGTGTACCATCTAGTTCAGTAGAATTCGTCTGAAATGAATGCCAGCTTCTTCTTCTTCTTTTTTCTTTTTCATCATCATCTTCTTCTTCTTCTTCTTCTTCTTCTTCTTCTACTTCTTCTACTTCTTCTTTCTTCTTCTTCTTCTCTTTCTTGCTCTTCTTTTCATCTGCCACATGGGACTTTCTTCCTGAATCATTCTTCTACAGACAATCGCAGAGATCACATGGGAGGTTCCCGACGGCCGCCAAAACTATCGTGGGGCAGTACACTCTGGCACGACAGTTAATCCTGGCTTTTGAGGAAAAACGGTAATGATGGCATTAGGTGTAGTACTGGATCGGTATCGTTACGCTCAGAGGAGCAATACTATGACAAGTTGTTTCTTCTACGCAGCTTGTTGATAGTGCTGGCGATTTGTGTAGTAATAGAGGATATTCTCTATGTAATATGGTTCATTATAAAGGTAATAACTTGCCCAGATTTTCTCCACATGGAGCAACGACATCAAAATCTGCCCTTCCTACCCAGCCCGCTCCCATACACGCTCGTCTGAGGGCAAGAAAATGAAGGCCTAATGGAGACCTTGACATAGGTGTCCTATTTAGTTTAGATACGTTTTTGTTGTGAATAAGGTCAAGATCGTTATCGTCGTTTAAACCAACGTCTTGTAAGTTTTCAATAAAACCTAGCAAAACACAGCAGATTTTTCCATTTGACAACTACTTATCTTTCCAAATATTTGGTGGAAAAAGTTTACCGTGGCAATGAAACGGGAACGAAAGGCATGAAAAAAATCAAGCATCGTAGTCCTCAAAGCAAAAGAAATCGGTTGCGTTTTTTGAACAAACAAAAATGCGAACGTAAATACGTACGCACATACATGCACACACATACAGACACTCGTTCACACTCACAACAAAATACACATACGCCCATATCGGGCTCTCCCCTTAGACCACACTTAAACACTTGCTGCCTCTGACTTTTATCGTTTCTTTTCCATAGAGAGACAATTGAGAATTGAGTTAGATATCTATAAGGTTAGGTGACTCTGCCTTCATACTATCTGTGAGGCCTAGCACTTCCTGCAATTCGTTTCCTTCTACTGCCACCGTCGTCAAAAAGTCTTTGATTCGCGTGTAGGTTCGATTGCTTGTTGAGGATCTGTCGACTGCTCTACTCACTGAGATGCTGAATGCTAGATAGTATGACAAGTCTGTTTTTCTAGAATCACCAAATTCCCATGCTAGGATGTTCTGATAGGTCAACACCACGAGCAATCGCTGGTGTTCGTGGATTAGAGGAAAATTTTCTCTTTTTTGACTCAGATTCTTACAAGACTACTGCGATGCAAGAAAAAAAGCTCTCGACATTGATCAATCCTTGAGGGATACGCCGTGCATTCGACTTCATCGTTGGAGGTGATTGAATGCATATCTGGCCTTTACAATGACTCGCGGTGGCCTAGCGAAGTATCGACTCAGTGATGCAATGCTCCAAGAAAAGTCTGGTACCAATTTTCCAACCCCGGAGGGATGGAAGACTTGGTGAGCCATGGGCGTGAAGATCGATTCCACGTGTGTGTCGCAGTGGCGTCTCCAACCACTGCGCCAGACGTGCCCTTGATTCATTGGGGCAACAAATCATTTAGTTAGCCAACCGATGTGCGAATGGCGTACCAGGCTAATTATGAAATTTAAAAAACGTTTTAAAAAATTTTCTCCATTACATTACGGACTCTGCAAGGTTCATATTTATGGGATTGGTCAGTTAACAAAATTTTCTATGTAAAAATACAAACAAAGCACTAATGTGAGACGATGTGTCTATGGAAAAATCAATCTCGCAGTTATTTTCACCTACCCATCATTTTCCCGCTAACTGGTCCGTGAGAAGAATTTCTTTTTCTTCCACAAATATAGCGCGTGTGGGTCAGTGGTCGGAGGTGCCCTGCGACACACACGTGGAATCGATCCACACGCTCATGGCCCACCAAGCCTTCCATCCATCCGTGGTCAGCAAATTGGTACCAGACGTATCTGGGAGGACAGCAACATTGACTGGATACATCAGAATCATTGCAAAGGCCAAATATGCATTCAATCACCTCTAAACGATGCTTAATGAAGTCGAATGCACGGCGCATCCCTAAGGGATAGATCAACGCCGACAGCTTCAGTCCTTTATCCTTTTTTATTTGCAAGTATTCTAAAACAAAGCTGTTTTAACTGCCACGACCGACTTTCTATTAACCTCGGCATTGATCAAGTGATTTTCTTCGTAATTTTGTTGAGCAAACGCGAGGTGTTACTATTCTTTGTTCACGATTAAGCTGACGTTTCGGCGAATTTCGCCTTCTTCAGA